GAGAGGCGGCAGCCTCATCCTCTCTCCCTATTTTTGGTTTCAAGGACACAGCCAGCCGCTTTCTTCACCGTTTAGGCCACACCATGGTGGAGGGTCCTGACTCCACCCTGTGGATGTTTGGAGGCATGTCGCTGCGTGAAGGAATGCTGGGTAACGTGTACAGGTAAGAGACTCTTCCGTCCTCAGAGGGCCTCCCCAAACACCTGTCACGCCTTTGTTGGCACGACAGCCAAAGGTGCTGCTGTGACTCCACAGGTACTCCATCGCTGAACGTCGCTGGACTCAGATGCTGGCAGGAACAGAGGACCGAGGGCCGGGGCCCAACCCCCGGTACTTCCATGCGGCTGCCTACATATCCTCAGGCAAAGCCATGTACGTCCTCGGTGGACTGACCGCGGACGGAGTGGCCAGCGATTTCTGGTTGCTGAACCTCACCACTTTGCAGTGGAGGCTTCTGCCGGTAAGATGTCCCATTCTCGGTGGGATCCTGTGAACGCCACCCCTCCTTAGACAGTCCCTGCGTGTGTTTAGCTGCTTCTGTTGCCACGAGTATCTCATGGAAAGCTCTGCCTCAAAACATGATGGAAATAATCCTCTTTTGGATAAAGAATATCCAGAACTGACCATCTTCTCCAGGTTCTGCTCCTTCCTGGTCTTCAAACACGAATAGATAGAGAGATAACCTTTATTGTCATTTTTTTTACCGTGGGCACAATGGCACACATTAAAAATGAAATTTAGTTGCTGGCTCTCAAAGTGTACACATATATAACACACATTTAAAACATACTATATACGTATGTATAGAGCTACACCCTTACATATAAGTAACATATAAATATTAATCACTGTCCATCTTGAATACATAACGGAAGGAGGAAACTTTAGAGTTCACAAAGTTAATACTGTATGGCACAAAACCGTGACCGAATCTGGAGGTTCTGCTTCGGATACCACGGAGCCCACTCCTCCCAGAAGGTAACAAGGAAAACAGGTCGTGAAGAGGATATGTAGCCTCCCAGACAATCTTGCAGACCCTGCTCAAGCAAGGCTTCATGCATGTGCTCCCCCACAGCTCACACAGAATCATCCCCTTTCCCACCGGTCCGCGAAGACGCAAAGGTTGGGGACTGCTGCCTTAGAGCCTTATTTGGTCTTTCCTGGGTGAAAACTGCCAATCTGGGGGAAATTCCTGTATTATAGGCAGAAAACAATAAAGTTGCTTGCTTGTGGAGGTCTGGTTGTTCCCGCCAGAGAAAAAGAGAGATTGAGCCCTCTTCATTTCTCCTTAACTCTTGAGCAACTAATAATCTAGAAAAGCAGAAGGGGAGAAGAGAGAGTGTTTGGTTCGCTGCGTGACATCATCTTCCTGAGCAGTGGGGAAGGGGTGTCCCTATCCAGTCGAAAATCTGGACCCTGCCTTAATCTTCTCCATTGATAAACAGCGACATGATTCTCCACCATAAGGGAAAAAGTTCAGAGAAGAGCACCTAAGATGATTAAAGGCCTGGAGACTAAAACAAACAAAGAACAGCTGCAGGATTTGGGTTTGGCTAGTCTAGAGAAAAGAAGGAGTAGGGGTGACATGATAGCAGTATTCCAGTATTTGAGGGGCTGCCACAAAGAGGAGGGGGTCAACTTATTTCCAAAAGGACCAAAAGGCAAGACAAGAAACAATGGATGGAAACTCATCAAGGAGAGAAGCAACCTGGAATTAAGGAGAAACTTCCTAACAGGGAGGACAATTAACCAGTGGAACGGCTTGCCTTCAGACCAGTGGTTCTCAACCTTTTTAATGTCGCGACCCCAACCGGTCGTAAGTCGAGGACTAAACCGGTCGTAAGTCGAGGACTAAACCGGTCGTAAGTCGAGGACTAAACCGGTCGTAAGTCGAGGACTTTCCCTGCCCGGGAGCGCCGCGCATGCGTAGCTCCGCCCCCTGCACCGGCCGAGGCGTAGCTGGCAAGCGGCAGAGACGGAGCAGGCCGACCACCAGCTGGCCCAGCCCAAGGGAGGTAAGGCACCCGCCGGAAAAGGGGGAAAAAAATGGCGGACAAAAAAAATGGCGGACAGCCTTGCTTGGCGACCCCCGTGAAATGGTCGATCGACCCCAAATGGGGCCCCGACCCACAGGTTGAGAACCACTGCTTCAGACGTTGGGGGTGCTTCATCCTTGGAGATTTTTAAGAAGAGCCTGGACAGACACTTGTCTGAAGTGGTACAGGGTCTCCTGCTTGAGCAGGCGGTTGGACTTGATGATCTCCAGGGTCCCTTCCAGCTCTTTTACGATTGATAATTGATAATGCCTGATTCCTATATCATGCATCTAAACACGACTCCAGCTGGTGGAGAGCAGATCTGTTTTCTGTCCGGTGTTTCTCTTTAGGCTTAGGAGACATTCTCTCTTTGCTTCCTTCCCACACTAGGATCCTCTGATCCCAGCTGTAGCTGGTCACACCCTCACGGCGCGGCGCGGCTCGTCCTTGATCCTCATCGGTGGCTACTCTCCCGAGAACGGCTTCAATAAGAAATTGCTGGAATACAACGTGGCGTCGGAGAGCTGGCAAGCTGGGAACCAGGCTGGAACACCTCCGACAGGTAGATGATCAGGACAACGTCAGCAGGGAATCCAGGGGAGAGACTAGCCGTTACTGAAATAAAATTTTGGAAAGGAATTCCAGGATCCATTACCAAGAGACGGTGGGAGGTATAAGCCAGCTCCCTTTTTGCAAAAAAAAAAAAAAAAGGAAGCCCTCCAAATTCCCCAGGCTGCATGGTGGAGATTCATGAGTGCACCCGAAATGTCTTTAATCTCTCATGTTTCAGGCAGATTCACCAGCCAGTGCAAGAAGGGTGGACAACTCCATAGCTCAAGTCAAAGTTTCTCAACCTTAGCAACTTGAAGATACGTGGACTTCAAGTCCCAGAATTCCCCAACCAGCCAAGTTGCCAGGGTTAAGAAACTCTGGCCAAAGTAGGTTCCCCCAAGCCAGGGGTAGGCAACCTTGGCTCTTTTATGACTGGTGGACTTCAACTCCCAGAATTCCTGACCCAGCATGGCTCAGCTTGGAAACCTCTCCCTTTCCCCTCAGCATGGCTGGCTCAGGAATTCTGGGAGTTGAAGTCCACGAGTCATAAAAGAGCCAAGGTTGCCTACCCCTGCCCCAAGCCATACAGGGGAACACCTGGTACTCCAGATTTCCTTTGCAGGTCTGTACGGCCACTCGGCCGTGTACCACGAGACCACGGACGCGATCTACGTCTTTGGTGGCCACCGCTTCCACGTGGAGATGGTTTCAGCTTCTCCTGAACTCTACAGCCTTTACTATCCCAACTTGACCTGGAGTTTACTGGCCCCATCTCAAGGCCCAAAGGTGAGAGCCCCTGGCAGCAGAACTAACATGGAGGCCTAGATGGTCTTCGGAGGGAGGGAGGACACAAGAGTTTTGGACCCTTAGTTTTCTCCAGCGACCATATAAGATACAGGCAGTCCTCAGCTTACAAGAGTTCATTTAGTGACCGTTCAAAGTTACCACAGCACAGAAAAAAGGAACTTAGGACCGTTTCTCAGACTTTTAACACCGTCGCAGTCTCCCCGTCACGTGGTCCAAATTCAGGCGCTTGGCAACCGACTCACAGTTACGACGGTTGCAGTGTCCTGGGAGGGGGGTGTCATGTGATCCCCTTTTGCGTCCGTCTGGTGAGCAGAGTCGACAGGGGAAGTCAGAATTATTTAACAACCGTGTGACTAGCTTAACTAACTGCAGGGATCCTCTTCACCGCTGTGGCGAGAAAGGTCGCAAAAACGGGGCAAAACTCACTTAACAAATGTCAGCAACAGAAATGTTTGGGCTCAGTTGCGGTCGTAAGTCCAGGACCACCTGTGGTGGGACTGTTGCGGAGGGCCGCCACGGCTCTGCCCCCTCCACTTCTGCTGTCCCAACACCATCATACTGACCCACCCCCCCACGCCCAGCTGACCCCGTGGGCCAGACGGGGACAGTCCACAGGCTGGATGTGGCCCTCAGGCCGTAAAACGCCCAGGTCCTTTTTTTTTAGATGGATCACTGTTTAGTTGGATCTCACAGGGATGAAGGCAGTGACCTTTAAATGTGGTTTTTACAGTGCTAACCTGTAATCCGATAGCAATAAATCATTTGGAAAATCCCTAAATATAATCCTGGGATGGAGATTGGGAAGAATGAAGCATCCGCAAGCGTGAGCTTTGGATGCAAATCAGATGCAAACCTCAGAATCAGAATAGAAGCTGGAAGGGACCTTGGAGGTCATCTAGTCCAGCCCCTTGCTCAAGCAGGAGATCCTATACATTCCAGACAAGGGGCTGTCCAGTCTCTTTTTAAAAACGTCCAGTGTTGGAGCACCCACAACCTCTGAAGGTCAAACCATTCCACTGGTTAATTGTTCTCACTGTCAGGAAGTTTCTCCTTAATTCCAGGTCGCTTCTCTCCTTGATGAGTTTCCATCCGTTGCTTCTTGTCCTGCCTTCAGGGGCTTTGGAGAATAGCTTGACCCCTTCTTCTTTGTGGCAGCCTCTGAGATACTGGAAGGCTGCTATCATGTCTCCCCTTAGTCCTTCTTTTCTCTAGACTGGTCATACCCAAACCCTACCGCCGTTCTTCCTATGTTTTAGTCTCCAGGCCTTTAATCATGCACTTTTTTTTCCAAAGCCTCAACCTCTTTTTGGTAATGCGGTGAACAAAAATGGATGCTGTATTCATCTCTCCGTCCCCATCTCTCCATCTCTCTCCAGCCCCTGGCTCATTTCTTCCATGTGGCGGCTGTGCTGAAGGACACCATGGTGGTTATAGGCGGGCGAACCGAACGGGAGAACTTCACCAGCCACGTTTTCTTCTACCAATTGAATTGCAATACGTGGATCCTTCCCAACAGCACAGGTAGAGGACATCCAGGTGGTCCTTGACTTACAAACGTTTCTTTATAGTCAACGGGATAGGTACGTTCACCTTCCTTCGTCCCTTTAGTGACCGTTCAAAGTTACAGAGGCGCTGAGAAAAGGGACTTAAGGACCAGTCTTACCCTTCACAACCGTTGGAGCATCCCCATGGGTTATGTGATCAAAATATATGGACACCCGTCCTAAGGAACTCTGGGCAGCTTATGTTGTTATTGTGATTCGTCTCCCAGCCAGTCAGATATTTAGACCGGATTTGGCATTTTTGTCTAGCTAGCAAATCCTTCCCCAGGACCTGGGATAGGCAGATGCTGAGGCCTGATAGTGTTAAATGTATTGTCATAGGAAATTTATATTATTATATTATATTAATTATATTAATTATATTATATTACTAGCTGTACCTGGCCACGCGTTGCTGTGGCTCAGTCTGGTTAAGCTGTTTTTCAAAAAAAGCATGTTTTTACCTGTCACAGATGTGACATCTATACAATGGTAGGTATCTAAAAACCCGCGCGTATTCGAATGCAACGTTGTGTCAAAATTTCAAAGCAATCGGTGAAGAAATTTCAGAGATTTAAGATTTTGAACAAACGAACATTTACATTTTTATTTATATAAATATTATAATATTATAATATTATAATATTATATTATATTATATTATATTATATTATATTATATTATATTATATTATATATTTATATTATATTATATTATATTATATTATTATATTATATTATATTATATTATTATATTATATTATATTATATTATATTATATTATATTATATTATATTAATTATATTATATTATATTATATTATATTATATTATATTATATTATATTATATTATATTATATTATATTATATTAATTATATTATATTATATTATTATATTATATTACATTATTATATTATTATTATAATATTATATATCTGCATTGCATTACATTTTTGATAACCGGTTTGGTGTAGTGGTTAAAGGCCCAGACTAGAAACCGGGAGACTGCTTGGGCCAATCAAAGAAGTGGCAGTGTTTGTGAAGCAACATTAGGGACTAGGTGCTTGAGTCTGAAGAGGGAAGGGAAGGAAATATTCCTGGGCGTGTAGGTATATGCACATAATTGGGAAGGGAAGGGAAGTAGGTCTGCCCTGGACTTTTTGTATACACTAGCTAACTTATTTGGGGGTAATATTTCCAACTGCCTGGCTGTAGAAAGAATATTCCTTAACTTGCTTTGTAATCGGCACTTTGAGGGGCATTTTGGGTTTCTCTAAAAGAATACCTTCATTTCTCTTTTCTGATTGGGGGCTGGTGCTCTTTCTCTCCCCCCCCACCCCCTTCCCCCTCCCCTGGTCAGTTTTTCTCATTGAAGTTTTTTGTCTTTCCTCTCTGCAGCCGGCGCCGTGGTGGGGGAGCCCATGACCGAGTCCATCGCCCACGCCGTGGTTTCCCTGGGAGGCCGCCTCTACCTCTCGGGGGGCTTCAGCGGGGTGGCCCTGGGGCGCATGCTGGCCCTCTCGGTGCCCCTTGACCCCTGCCTCATCTTCTCCAGCCCGAAAGCCTGCAATGGCTCAAATGCCAGCTGCGTCTGGTGCCATGCCAGCTGCGTCTCTGCCGAAGCGGCTGAAAGGTACAAGAGAATACAGGTCGTCCTCAGCTTACAGAGAGTTCGTTTTAGTGACCGTTCAAAGTTACAACAGCACCGGAAAAAGTGACGTAGGACGGTTTTTCACACTTAACGCCCATTACGGCCTCTCCAAGGTCACCTGATTAAAATTCAGACACTTGACGGTTGACTCGTATTTATGACAGTCGCAGCGTCCCGGGGTCATGTGATCCCCTTTTGCGACCTTCTGACAAGCAAAGTGAATGGTGGGGGGGGGGAGCCAGACTCACTTCACAACTGTGTTACTAACTTAACAACGGCAGTGATTCACTGTGGCCAGAAAGGTCGTAAAATGGAGCCAAACTCAAATTATCTCACTTAGCAACATTTTTGGGCTCAGTTGTGGTCGTAAGCTGAGGACTACCTATAGTTAGGGTACCTAATTCTCAGGAGACTGGAGGGCAGGATGATCCTCAAGTGGTGGAGGGCTTCTTTCTGTGGTTTTCCATGTGTTGTGTTTGGTGTAGATCAGAGGTAGGGAACCTTGGCTCTTTTATGACTCGGGGACTGCAACTCCCAGAATTCCTGAGCCAGCATGGCTCAGCATGGAAACCTCTCCCTTTCCCCTCAGGATGGCTGGCTGAGGAATTCTGGGAGTTGAAGTCCACGAGTCATAAAAGAGCCAAGGTTGCCTACCCCTGCTCTAGAGGACTTCCATTGCAACTCTCCTTCGGAATAGCCAGTCCTCAAAGGAATTTGGGAATAATCTATGGGCACCTGTGATAAGGAAAGGAGAGGTGTAAAAGAAAGGGAACAGCCAGTGTGGTGTAATGCTTAAAGCATCAGGTTAGAAACTGGGAGACGGTGAGTTCTAGTTCCACCTTAGGCCTGAAAGCCAGCTGGGTGACTTTGGGCCAGTCATCAGGAGATGGTGACTTCTAGTCCTATCTTAGGCCTGAAAGCCGGTTGGGTGGCTTTGAGCCAATCACCAGGAGACTGGGAGTTCTAGTCCTGCTTTACCCATGAAAGGTGGCTAGATGACTTGGAGGGGTCAGTCCTCAGGAGACCATGAGTTCTAGTGCCAGCCTTGGGCTTCAAAACCGACTGGGTGACTTTTGGCCAGTCATCAGGACACGATGAATTCCAGCCCTGCCTAGAAGCCAGCTAGGTGACTTTGGGCCAGTCCCTTTCCCATAGCCCTAGGAAAGCATCAATGGCAAATCACTTCTGGGTTTAAAATGGATGGGGAGTTTGGCTCGCGACTGAAGCTCACAGCTGATCTTCTTCCTGCAGACAAGGCTGCTCCTTTGGGGGGATCTCCTGCTTCCCCACCCCAAGATCTGCAGAGGAGTGTCGCCGGCTAAGGACTTGCAGCGAGTGCCTCGCCCAACATCCTCGATCCATGGCCCACAGCCTGGGTATTCCTGTAAGTAGCCACTCACCCCTGTTGGGAATACAGTTCTGCAACCAATTTTGGTCACCAGACTACAAAAAAGATGTTGAGGCCTTGGAAAAAGCTCAGAGAAGAGTAGCTAAAATAATCAAAGCCTGGAGACCAAAACATAAGAACGGCTGCAGGATTTGGGTATGGCTAATCTTAAAGAAAAGAAGAAACGGGGGACATGATAGCAGTATTCCAGTATCTGAGGCGCTGCCAAAAAGAAGAAGGGGTCAACTTATTTCTCAAAGCACCAGAAGGTGAGACAATTGATAGAAAGTAATCAAGGAAAGAAGCAACCTGGAATTAATTCTATTCTATTCTATTCTATTCTATTCTATTCTATTCTATTCTATTCTATTCTCTGTTCTGTTCTGTTCTGTTCCGTTCGTTCGGTTCCATTCTTTCATTACTCTACTCTACTCTACTCTACTCTACTCTACTCTACTCTACACTACTTCTATTCTATTCTATTCTATTCTATTCTATTCTATTCTATATTATTTTTCCAAACCAGGGAAGCATTTGGTCATTTTGGCAAAACCCACAGAGCCTCTTAGATCAGTATTGCTCAACCTTGACAAGCTTTAAGCTGTGCAGACGTTATTTCCCACAATTCCCCAGCCAGGCACGAATTCTGGGAGTTGAAGTCCATCCATCTTAAATTTGCTGAGGTCGACAAACGCCTGCTTTCGAGACAGGCGTGGTTTATTGGAATAAAGTATGGAGGGAGGACAGGTTCCCAACCGTGAAAGAGGGATCCAAATCGAAGGCTTGGGGATTCGAACACTTGGGTGTCTTAGCGCTGCCAGGTTTGGTGACTGCTTTCTGCTCCCCAGCCCTCGCCACAGTGTAAATGGTGCACCAACTGCCCCGAGGGTGCGTGCATCGGCAGCAGCGGCAGCTGCACTTCGGAGAACGACTGCCGCATCAACCAGCGCGAGATCTTCGTGGCCAGCAACTGCTCCGAGATCTCGTGCGAGGCGTCTGACTGCGCCAAGTGCACAGCTTCCGGGAAGTGCATGTGGACGAGGCAGTTCAAGCGCACCGGTGAGGGACCGGCCCGTGATTGGCGGAGGTTGGATGAGAAGAGGGGACTAGGGAAGAGAGAAGGGGGGAGGAAAGGGCTTCGGGGTGAGGATCAAGTGGCGGAGAGTTCTGACGACGAAGAGACGAGAATAGAAAGACAACTGTTGGGGTGATGATGATGATGATGAGATGATGTTGACAATATCCGTTCAGTCATGGCTGACTCTCGGCTAATCTGTGGACCAGGTCTCTCCACCTCTTTGCATCTCGCATTACAGATTCATTTAGTGACCGTTTGAAGTTACAAAGGCACCGAAAAAAGGGACCTGCAACCACTGCCGCATCCCCACAGTCGTGGGATCAAAATTTAGATGCTTGGCAACTGACTCGTATTTATGATGGTCGCTGTGTCCTGGGGGTCATACGATCCCCTTTGGCGACCTTTCTGACGAGCAACGTCAATGAGGAAGCCAGGTTCACTCACAAATCATGTTACTAACTTAACAGCTGTAGTGATTCATTTAACAGCTGTGCAAGAAAGGTCGTAAAATGGGGCAAAGCCCACTTAACAAACGTCTCAGCAACAGAAATTTTGGGCTGAATTGTAGTCGTACGTTGAGGATCACCTGTACTTCTTTGAGTTTTTCTATGCTCTGGCTGGTGTCCGCTTTGATTGTTGGGGAAGATGGGGCTAATGGCTGTAAAATTAACCATGAAGAGTTGGCTGAGGGTACCATAGCTTGGGAGACCAAGAGAGACTTGGGCCCAGAACCTTTGGTCCCTGGAGAGCATCTAGACGTCAGCCCTGTTGATGTCCACCTCCCCAAGTTCTCCTGAACGTCTGTTCATTTCAGTAGAGTTTATGGAGAAGACACATCCATTTTTCCCAAGTTGAATCTTCCTCTTCTTCCATTCTCAGTGTCTTCCTCCTGAATATGGTGGCCCACCATGCTTGTCTCCTGGTAGAGTGGTTGAAGGCAGGCAACTAAGGGGAATGATCCAGTTCAAGATTGAATGGCTAAGATGCTGGCTAACCTCTGTCGTTGCTCAACTTGCCCTAGAAATGGGAGAGGAAGCTTGGGAGAAATGGGATTTTTTAAAAGAAGCCGTCTACGGACCATGAGAACCAAGGTCACAAAAGCAGGTGTCTGACGAAGAAGTGGACCTTTCTCATAACAAGCCAAAGAGATACAATTGGCCAGCGTGAACACTTGACGGGTGGGGGTTATAGAGAGCTATTGTTAACTAGCCAGATTTTCGTGCAGGAAACTTAGAGCTGATTTTGCTTCTTCAATACCGAGATGTGTATTCAATAAAGCTTATCTTTTATGGTACCTCAAAGCCATAGAGTTTCTTCAATGTTGAATTTGCTAGTCAGACGGTTGACAGATCCTGGCCTTGAAAGCTCTTTGTATTCACCCTTCTTCCTCCCCCTCCCCCCCAATGTTTAGGGGAGACCCGCCGCATCCTCAGCGTGCAGCCCACCTACGACTGGACTTGCTTCAGCCACTCGCTCCTCAACGTCTCCCCGATGCCCGTGGAGTCCTCGCCTCCCCTGGCCTGCCCCACACCCTGCCACAACCACAGCACTTGCGGGGACTGCCTCAGCTCCAAGGGGGCTGATGGGGGCTGGCAGCAGTGTGTCTGGAGTGTCAGCCTGCAGCAGGTAAAATGATTTGGGCAGTCGGCGTACGCCAGCTCTGCCAGGGAGACTCTAATACAGGGGTCTCCAAATTTGGCCACTTGGAGACTTGGGGACTTCAATTCCCAGAATTCCCAGGCCAGCGTGTCCAATTCTGAGAGTTGAAGTCCTCAACGTGGCTGGCTGGAGAATTCTGGGAGTTGAAGTTCACAAGTCTTAAAGTGGCCAAGTTTGGAGACCCCCTACTCTAATGTATTTTCTCTCTCTCTCTCTCTCTCTCTCTCTCTCTCTCTCTCTCTCTCTCTCTCTCTCTCTCTCTCTCTCTCTCTCTCTCTCCCTCTCCCTCTCCCTCTCCCTCTCCCTCTCCCTCTCTCTCCTTCTGTCCCTCTCTCTCCGTTCTCTCCTTTCTCTGCAGTGTATGAGTCCAACTTACCTACCTATGCGCTGCGCGGCTGGGATGTGTGGCCGGGTCCTGAGCGGGTCAGAAAGCTGCACTCCATCCTGTTCCCATTTCCAGCAATGTGCTCTTTGCATCCAGCAGCCTCGGTGTGGCTGGTGCAGCTTCCAGGGAGAGAATGGCAAAGGGCGCTGTCTGGAGGGAGGGCGGAGTGGCCCTCGCCACGGTGGGTCCCTGGGGTTTGGCTGGCATATTCTGAGGGGAGCATTGAATGGGTGCTGAGCAGTGGGAAGCAGAGGGCGAGAAAGAGTGGTTATGGCTAGAAACTGGGAGTTTGTGAGTTTTAATCTCGCCTTAGGCAGGAAAGCAGGCTGGATGACTTTGGGCCAATCACCAGTGCCATCTTGGGCACAAAAGCCAGCTGAGTGGGCTTTGGGCCAATCACCAGGAGATGGTGAGTTATAGTCTCGGCTTAGCAGGAAAGCTGGCTGGATAACTTTGGGCCAATCACCAGGTGATGGTGAGTTCTAGTACCGCTCTAGGCACAAAAGCTGGCTGGGTGACTTTGAGCCAGTTACTAGGAGATGGTGAGTTCTACTCCTGTCTTAGGCAGGACAGTTGGCTGCATGACCTTGGGCCAGTCACCAGGAGACAGTGAGTTCTAGTCCTAATCTAGGCATGAAAGCTGGCTGGGTGACTTTGGATCAGTCACTTTCTCTCAGCCCAACCCAATTCACAGGATGGTTGCGAAGAGGAAGGAGCATCAGGTTTGTTAGCCACGGGAGAGAAAGAGATAAAAAATACCTATATTTATATATCTATCTGTGGAGAAGCAGCTTCCAGTATCGTGTTTCTGGCCATATGCAGGGCAGATATGCAGGGCCTTCCATGGTGGGCCTTTGCCGGGCTAGGTGGGGGCTACCCACATGCTGGCTGGAGAATTCTGGGAGTTGAAGTCCACCCAGCTCTAAGATGGAGCAACTCTGTGCCAAAGTGAGGATCTCCTTCCCAAATACATCCCTGCAGCTCAGATTTCTCCCTCTCTCTCTCTCTTTTCCTCTCTGCTCTGCAGGACTGGTGGAGTTGTGTGGCCTGAAAGCAGACTGGGCCTTCATGTCGTGCCCGCCAGAAAACGAATGCCTGAATGGGCATCACGACTGCAACGAGACCCAAAATTGCAGCGACCTGCCTCACAGCTACAAATGCACCTGCAAAAACGGCTACACCTTGGACAAGTCAGTATGAACAATGTCCCAGCTGTATTTCTAGCTCGGGTCTGGCTCTTGTTTTGAGGCCTCTCTTCACCAGGGAAAAGGAATCCCAATTCCGCAGCCTGGGAAATTAAACTGGCTGAAGGTCCTTTTCCCTACCTGCATTCAACCTTTGGGTGGATTTCCCCACCTGTGGCCGCTTTTGAAACCTTAGCCTTCACTAGATTGTGTAAAGTAGCAGGAAGGGGCGTGCGGCAAAGCTAAGGGGCCTAAGCAAACCTGGTTAGTCTCCTATGGGCATGGGGTGCTCAGACAGTCTTTGGTGGTGGGAATGTCATTGCATGGACATGCAAACAGTCTCAGGCTGTTAACACCCAGCCTTCTAAAGCAGAGGTCCCCAACCTTTTGAGCACCAGGGACCGGTTCCTTGGAGAGAGGTTTTTCCGCAGACCAGTAGGGTGCGTGGTTTTGTGTGCTGCCTGCATCCTGTGGATGGGGCTTGGCTTGTTTGCGTGGACCGGTTTCTGACATGCCACGGACCAGGGTTTGGAGACCCCTGTTCTAAAGGACACGGCTGCCTCCAGATTTGCTAATGCTCAGCTCCGCTCTGCACTACCTCCTGCTTCGTCTCTCTGCGCTGGAATAGTCCCCTCTGAATAATAATAATAATAATAATAATAATAATAATAATAATAATAATAATAATAATAATAATAATAATAATAATAATAANGTCCAGTCTCTTCTTAAAAACTTCCAGTGTTGGAGCATTCACCGCTTCTGGAGGCAGGTTGTTCCACTGGTTAATTGTTCTCACTGTCAGGAAGTTTCTCCTTAGTTCTAGGTTGCTTCTCTCCTTGGTTAGTTTCCATCTGTTGCTTCTTGTCCTGCCTTCAGGCGCTTTGGAGAATAGCTTGACTCCCTCTTCTTTGGGGCAGCCCCTGAGATATTGGAAGGCTGCTATCATGTCCCCCCTCGTCCTTCTCTTCGTTAAACTAGACATTCCCAATTCCAGCAACCGTTCCTTATACTTAAGTTTTTCTCTGTCCGAATTATTCCTCAGTGATTTTCCTTTACTAAGCTCCAATTCCAGCTCTTTGCTTAATTTGCTTTAATTTAATGTCCTAAGCCAGTGTTTCTCAACCTTGACAATTTTAAGACATGTGGTCTTCAACTCCCAGAATTCCACAGCCAGCATTGCTGGCTGTGGAATTCTGGGAGCTGAAGTCCACATGCCTTAAAATTGTCAAGGTTGAGAAACACTGTCCTAAGCAATCAATTGCAAGCATGGATGGGGATAGATAGGGGAAGGAGCAATCGGTGTTGTTAGGTCTGCTATTTCTGACAAAGTTACACCGGCGTGCTGAAGACCCTTTTGTGATTCTGCCTGTCCTCCCCTCCCCCTTTGCAGCATTACAGGACTGTGCAAGCCGGTGTGCGAGCAAGGCTGCGTGAACGGGACCTGCGTGGAGCCCAACGCCTGCCAGTGCCATTTTGGCTACGTGGGTCAGAACTGCTCGGTGGAGTGCCAGTGCAACAAACACAGCAACTGCCGGGGCGTGGGGGCCCAAGACCAGTGCCTGCAGTGTTTCAACAACACCATGGTGAGAAGGGTGGAGAACAGCAGGGGTGGGGGCAAAGTGGAAGAGACCGAAAGCGATTAATTTGAGCTGGATTTTCAGCTTGCCGGTTTTGTGTTCTCAGCCCTTTTCTTCCCTCCGAGGCTGGGATGGAAGGTAGTAAAGGAGGTGGATTGCCCGGGGGCCGGGGGGGCACTCCGAAGGAGCAAGAAGCAACTCAGTCTGGATATGATGTGTGAGAGAAAGAGAGTGTAGACAGCCCCTCTCTAATAGAGTATAGGCAGTCCTCGACTTAACGACCACAATTGAGACGAACGTTTATGGGCCAAATGTACGGTCCAAAAAACTGTCTTCAAAAGAGTTGACCGATCCAGGAAGGGACCCAGCTGGTGCATCAAATGGAGCTGAGCAAAAGCTTTCTTGGTCTCAGGCCCCAAACCGAGAATTGCACACGGTAATTCTTCCAGTCTGACGTCTTTATTGTTGCTTACCGATAGACGGAATCTTGCCAGATTCAACTATCTATACCAGTGATGGCGAAACTTTTAGAGACCGAGTGCCCAAACTGCAACCCAAAACCCACTTATGTATCGCTGGGTGCCGGGTGGGCGTGACCCATTGGGTGGGTGTCGCCCATTGGGTGGGCATGGCTGCGGTGGTAATGGCAAACTGGGCGGGAATTAAAAAGTTCAATCAATCAATTCCAACTTTGCTAAATCTTTTTTTTTCCTACGAGAAGTTGACATTGACTGATTGATTGAACCTTTTTTTTTTTTGCACATGGCGGCGGAGGCCTAAAGCGAAAAGGTTTTATAAAACCCAGCTGAAGGCCCAGGACTGGGGCGACGGCGCGTGTGCCCACAGAGAGGGCTCTGCGTGCCGCCTGTGGCACCCGTGCCATAGGTTCGCCACCACGGATCTATACACTCTGGGAACTATTAGGGAGGGTCTGTCCTCACCCTCTCTCTCCCACAATATCTGGGCTGAGTTGCCTCTTCTTCCTCTGCAGTGCCCCCCCACTCTCCCTTCTGGGAGTCCATCTGCTTACTACTCTGTTCCACCACAGAGACCCATAAATTCACCCTTAACTCTGCCCCCTTCTGCTCCCCCCCCTTTAGGGGCCACACTGTGAAAAATGTCAGCCGCTCTTTGTCGGGTCGGCCCTCAACGGCGGCTCCTGCCGGCCTTGCCACGTTTTCTGCCGAGGGAACAGCAACATGTGCATCACGCGGGAAGAATACAAGCGAGCACAGCAGGATCCGGTCCGCTTCCCCTTGGAGCCTGCCTTGGTGAGTGGAACGAAGGCCCCCCCCCGATTAGGGATCGTAGACCGCAGTCCTCGTTTAGCGACCCTCATCGAGGCCGGCAACTCGGTTGTTATAAAGCAGTCGCTAAGTGGAACCGAACCACTCTGCTCTCTGCGTTGCTTTGCATTAAGAGGTACGGACTTCAGCCGTGCCAAAGGGTGGAATGGCAGAGGCAGAGAGAGTAGGAAGACCCTCTGTAGCTTCAGCGTGGCTGAGATGAGACCACCGGATTTGATCACGGATCTGTGGCTCGTACCTCCTCAGGAATACGGAGAAGAGGGAGAGAATGTGTGAGGGTTGTCCTTCTTTTTTCATAGATTCCCACATGGGTGGCGGAAGGCCCTGCCGAGGACGCAGCGATGTGTGTGAACTGTCAGAACAACAGCTTTGGAGACAAGTGTGAGAGCTGCCTCCACGGCTACTTCCTGCTGGAGGGCAAATGTACCAAGTAAGACCTCTGGGATATATATATATATGTGTGTGTGTGTGTGTGTGTGTGTGTAAATGCACCCTCTGTCAACGCTGCTAACATCAGATGTTTGTGCTTTGACAACGTATGGAGATGCAGCCCTTTTCTTTCTTAAGCTTTACTCTTAGAATTAGAGTTAGAGTTAGATGATGCGGAGGGGAGGAAGGTGCATGAGAGTTTAGCTAGACATAACAATACTAGACCTAGTGTGTGAACCAAGGTTATTGAAATAAGAGATGATAAGAATTGGCGGGCTGGAGAACTGGAGGGAAAGCCTGCGTTTCAAACTAATTGGAGAATGCGATTTATGGCTGTTAATCAGAGGAGGGCATTGCGCTTGGTACTATGGGTTCAGGGGAGGGGAATTCAGATTTTGGCTTTGCCTATGTACTTGCCGATGCTATGCTACTCGAATAAAGATTCTTTAAGGTAAACAATACCTCAAAGTTCTTTGAAGAGTTTCATCTGTCAGAAACATGACACCCTCCTCCTATTCTCCCTCCAACATGGATGTGTGTGTAAGTGTATGTACATACATACGTACATATGCAACACATTCTCCTCCTATTTCCCCCACAACAACCCTGTGAGGTGTGTGGGGCTGAGAGAGAGGGACTGGCCCAAAGTCACCCAGCCAGTCTTCACGGCTAAGGCGGAACTAGAACTCACTGTCTCCTGGTGATTGGCCCAAAGTCACCGACTGGGCTTGCATGGCTAAGGTGGGACTAGAACTCACCGTCTCCTGCTTTCTAGCCTGGTGTCTTAACCACTAGACCAGGGGTCTGCAACCTTGACAACTTTAAGACTTGCGGACTTCAGCTCCCAGAATTCCTCAGCCAGCTATGCTGGTCCACCAGTCTTAGGTTGCAGACCCCTGCACTAGACCAAACTGGTTCTTTGGGGATGGTGTTTGTCCAGATGAGGCCAAGTGGACAGTTCTTGAACTGACCCCCATCTGCAGATTTCTCCCCGTTCAGCACTAGTCCCCATCAAGGCACAGGGAGCCCTCTCACCTTGCAATTGTTCACCTAACGATGGTTCCAAGTTACGACAGTCTCAGAAAAAGCGACTGACGATCTGTCTGGAGAATTCATGACCGTTGCACCGTTCCCAGGGTCATGTGATTGTAATTCGGGCACCAGGCTTACATTTAGGACGGCGGCCGCATCTTGTGGTCCCGCGACCCCCATTGGCAACCTTGCCAGCCGGCTTCCGACAAGCCAAGTCAACCTGGGAAGCCTTTAATGATCACAGGAGTCACTTAATGGCCACGGTGTGACTAGTTGTAAAATCAGGCCTGATCGGGTGAAGACTTGTGTAGTAAGCAAAATTCCCATTCCAGTCCTGGTTATAAGTTGAGGACTACTTGTCGTTCCGATGGAATGATAATAAGAGCTCTGGGACAATCATTCACCTCCCCCTCCTCTCCCAGGTGCCAATGTAACGGCCACGCTGACTATTGCCACGAACTGGACGGGACGGGTTGCCCATGCCAAAACAACACGGAGACCGGAGGCTGTCAGAACAATGCCCAAGCTGACAAGAAGGATTGCTACAAACAACAGGTGAAGGGGAGGGCAGGGTGGGTGGGTCTGGGTTCAGGCTGATAGGGAAGGGACCCCAAAGAAAAGCAGTTGTGCTAAAATCAGGAGAAAGAGAACCTCGTTCAGTGGGTGGATAATCGGCCACACGAAATCAGAGATGGTTTTTCTGGATGCCCTCCTGCCTCCCCCCCCCCCGCTGGGATAAATGGAAGCTGAACAACAACACATTCATTTCCCAACACACATTTATTGACTTAGCATGTGTATTTTATTGGTGGAGCTAGTCATGGGCAATCCTGAAGGCCCACAATCGCAATAACTTGGAGCACGTTACATTTCTTCAAAGATTAGGGAATGGTAGCTGGAAGGGAAAGACACACTGACATTTTTATGATGTCTAGACCCATTTTTGTGGCTAGTCATGGGCAATCCTGAAGGCCCACAATCACAATAACCTGGAGCACGTTACATTTCTTCAAAGATTAGGGAATGGTAGCTGGAAAGGAAAGACACACTGACATTTTTATGGTGTCTAGACCCATTTTTGTGGCTGGAGTAACAGAGCCACGGTATTCTGCAGTTGTTGCAAGCACAGAAAACACACATCACGGGACTGCATCAGCTTGCTAGACGCCTTTGCACCGATCAAAGAAACAAAATAAATATAAGGTCCACTAATGAGTATTACTGGGGTGTGGGAAATGACGCATGCCGTTTCACCAGGATCTCTTTAAAACATGTAAAACATGGCTGGCTGGGGAATTCTGGGAGCTGAAGTCCACAGGTTTTAAAGTTGCCAAGGTTGGGGACCCCTGTCTTAAAATATGGCTCCCAACTGGGAGTGGGAAGAAGCAGTTTAAGATAAGTTGGAATCGCTTCGTATAAATCTGCCTGCTGGTCTTTTTTCTCTCCACAGTGTGCCAAATGCCGGGAGTTATTCCACGGGAATCCGGTGGGTGGCCACCAATGCTATCGGCTGATCATTGTCGATCAGGAGAGCTGCTTTGATCCGATGTCCCAACTCAACTGCTTTCACGAGCCGAACATCAAGAACTTGCAGTTTGGACGCTCCGTTTTTTTTGGAGTCCAGCCCAAATTTACCAACGTGGACATCCGGATCACCATCGATGTGACCTTCGGCGGAGTGGACGTCTACATCTCTACCTCCTACGAAACGTTTGTGGTGGACGTAGATCGGGCCACTGGCATCCATTTGGTGAGGATTGTCCCCTCGGGGGAAGACCCGGGGGCGCGCAGCGGCTTAAGCAACGGGAGCCAGTCCTCCCCCCTGGTACGAGAGGCGCAGGCCTATGGCTTGATCACCTACATCACCGTGAGGGAGCAGCAGGCGGTGCTGATCGTGCGAGGGGTCCGAGATCGCGTGGTCATCACTTACCCGCACGAGATCCACGCCCTGAAATCCAGCCGCTTCTATGTCATCCTGCTGGGCATCGGCGGGAGCGGCCCCAACGTCACCGAGTCTCAGGGCCTCCTCTTCTTCCGCCAAGACCAGGCCCACATTGACCTCTTTGTCTTCTTCTCCGTCTTCTTCTCTTGCTTCTTCCTCTTCCTCTCCGTCTGCGTCTTGCTTTGGAAAGTCAAGCAGTTCCTGGACCTGAGACACGAGCAACGGCGCCACCTGCAGGAGATGACCAAGATGGCCAGCCGGCCTTTTGCCAAAGTGACCATCTACTTTGAGCCGGATAATTTGGGGGCACCTGCCGAGCTGGTTTTCCTCCCCGCTCGCCCCCACAAACTCCCATCCCTGGCAGCAGCCCAGCCCCTGACTAGTCGCTTGAAACCCTACCACGAGGTCCCCTATCCCGTGGCCCATTTCCGCCGCTCGGAGCCCTTCCTGTCTCATCTCATGGGCTACTCCTACTCCAGCTTCCGGGTGGGACCGATCACCTTGGAGCCAACGGACGATGGCATGGCTGGTGTGGCTACTGTCCTCTTCCAGCTGCCGGGTGGGCTGCAGGCCCCCAACCGCGCTTGCCTTGGCTCTGCTCTCGTCACCTTGCGCCACAATCTCCAGGACTACTGCAGCAGCAGCCACGGTGTGAGCAGCTCCCGCAAGGGCCTACTCAGCCACGAGAACATCACAAGCATGTCCCTATGAGTTAGCGGAGAACTTCGCCCTGCTGGGGCTGAGAGGGGCTTCAGCGATCTCCATCTGCCTTGGGAAGGGGCGGAGAAGGGCAGAGCCTTCAGTAGAACAAGGGTGCAAACTCGCTCCATCTTCGGTACAGACATTCCTGCCAGCTGGAGTGGAAAAGCCACAGATGGTCTCTGGGGCTTTTGTGCCTGTTCCGTTGCCCTCCTGCTCGGGAAGGTCCTGGGGCCAACTCAGTATAGGCCAGAGGCCCCCAACCTTTTGGGCACCAGGGATCGGTTCTGTGGAGAGAGGTTTTTCCACGGACCAGAGGGTGTGTGGTTTTGTGTGCTCCCTGCATCCCGCGGATGGAGCTTTGTTTGTGCGGACCGGTTGATGGCATGCCGCGGACCGGTACTGGTCCACGGACCGGGGGTTGGGGACCCCTGGTATAGGCCACAGGGATCTCCAACCTTGGCAACTTTATGACTTGTGGACTTCGACTCCCAGAATTCCTCAGCCAGCCATGCTGGCTGAGGAATTCTGGGAGCCGAAGTCCACAAGTCGTAAAGTTGCCAAGGTTGGCGACTCCGCTATAGGGGAAGCATGCATGTGGCCCTCAGCCTAGCTCTTAATGTCTGCGTTCACCCGACACGCTTAACCAAGGCCTAGTGTCCGCGTTGGTGCAACATGCTAAGCTTGGTTAGTATTCACTGGTACGCTCTTCTGTGTCTTCATACGTGTCATCCCCACCCGTTCGTTGAGCTAACGCTTCCGTACATGATGGAAACCCAGGGGACGAATCAATTCCGCCGTTTCAATTGAGCAGACTGTGCGAAGGCAGCCTCCGATCGCGTCCCGGGCCAGGTTTCTCAAAAAGTGGGTGTAAGGATGGAGGACGGAGGGCGTTTGGGCTTGATCGTTCACAGTCTTCTAGATCTCACTCGCTTGCTTCTTACTAGTCGTCTGACTCACTGGATACAACAAGCCCTAAAACACGTTTTAAGACAGTTGGCTGCCGTTCTTGGATCAGATGTCTCAGTTGGAGAAGGAGAAAACTTGGTTTAGAAAGAAGCATGTTAATCTGGGGTGGAGGAGCAAGAGCTGTCTCTTGAACAAGTCAGGGAAATGCATGCTGGGCAAATTCTTCTTCCCGGCTTGTGGTTTTGTTAACATTAATGAGCTTTTGTGTTGATAGTCATCTCCCTTGCAAATTGGAGGAAGAAACAGAAGACGTCCGTCCCTTTGATGCCTGGAAGACAATCAGCGCTTGGGTTTTTGCGTAGCCTCTTGATCTTGAGCGGCTGGTTTGTTGGCTGGTTTGTTGCAACACCGGACGAGCTGTTGTGCGGTCATTAAAGTTGTTAATCCCATGCTGGATGGGAGCCAACAAATGGAAAGCCGGGCCGAAAGAAGCGTGTGAATTCCAGGCAGCTAAACTGGTCAGAATTAAGGAACCTGCTGCTTTTCGTATCAAGTTACCCTCCACACCTGTGCAGGGCTCCAGGTGTGGTGCCGAAAACTTGGTGATGTGAAGGAGGCGGGAAGATTGGATCTCTGTTGTGTGTTTCACTTCTGACCAAAGCATGGGGCTGATGCCTCCCGCCCTATTCCCCGTGTCTCTTGTTTTAAGCTCGTTTTCAGCTTTCTGGTGTTGTCATTCCTTTCCCGACATGTAAGTTTCTCTTCCTTGGGTTAATTGTGAAGAGGGCTTCAGGGATTCCAAGGCGGCTTAACAGGAATTCTTTATCTCACGCGCCATCTGGCAGGTGGCACAGGGGCAGCAACAGCAGGCAGCCATCCAATCGCAGCACACATCCCCCTGGGAAAGAAGGAAAAGACAACGAGCGTAAATCCGCGTTTCTCAACCTTGGGAGCGTCCAGATGTGCGGACTTCGATTCCCAGAAATGAAGTTTGAAGCGGAGCTGGCTGGGGAATTCTGGGAGTTGAAGTCCACCCATCGGAAAGTTCCCGAGGTTGAACAACACTGCTACAAATCACCCAGTGCAATGTCTTCTATTTAACCTACGCTCCATAGTGCCTGCGCCTTTCCAGTTCCAACCACCACCGATTAAAAATAAATGAAAACAACAACAACAACAGCAGCAACCAATCTCGGCTTCCTGGCTTCGTTTTGCATTTTAAAAGATCCACGGAGCCGGCTCCAGGACGGAAGGAGAGAACATAGCCATCCCTCCCTCCCTCCCTTCCTCCCCACCCCAGGACTTAAAGATCATCAGGAAAACTGCCACCGCTGCAAAGTTGAAATAATTAAATCTCCTCTCCCGACTCTTGCTGGAGTGATCCCTCCCTCCCATCTGCTTCTCAACCTCGCCTCAAAAAATCTCTCCCTGGATAAAATTGCAGCCCACGGAAGCCGACGGTACCTTGATGCGGAGCTGTTCTCGCAGACCTGTCCGGAGGGCTACCATGGCTCCTGGGAGGCACGGCAGACAGCAGCATTCGCCAAGGCTCGACGCCACTTGGCAGGCCAGGACGCAGGGAGCGAAAGTCCCGCAGATGCCTGGGGGAGCAGAAGGGAAGCCTTTGAATTTGGAGGAGCCACACTCGTCCCTCGGCGCTATTTTAGCGTCCGCCTTCAGGCGAGCGACGTAAAGGGGCAAGACGCTCCTGTGAGGACACAGATCTCATCTCCCGGATAATTAAATGAGCCGCGAAACAAGGGCATGGCTGGGGAAAGCGATAAGTAGTTCTCCACTTAACAACCATTTGTTTCGCGACCACTCAGAGTTTCCGGCGGCGCTGAAAAAAGCGACTTAGGATCGTTTTCACACAACCGTGGCAGCATCCTCACAGCCCCGTGATCAACATTTGGGCACCTGGCAACTGGCGTCTTATTTATGGCGGGTTGCACAATCCTGGGATCACGTGATCAACTTTTGTAATCTTCCCAGCCGGCTTCCAACAAACAAAGTCAGCGGGGAAGCCAGATTCAAACTTAACGACCAGATGATTCACTTAACAATTGCAGGGATTCGCTTGGCAAAAAGGGGGTCAAATGAGGCGTGACTCGCTTAACAACGGCCTCGTTTAGCAACGGAAGCCAGATTCGCTTAACGACCAAACGCTTCACTTAACGACCAAACGCTTCGCTTAACTGCAGCAATTTGCTTAAGGGTGGCAAGAAAGGTGAAACGAGGCCTGACTCGCTGAACGACAGCCTCGTTCAGCCACTGAAACTTTAGGCTCCATTGGGCCGTAAGTTGAGGACTTGCTGTAGTAGCATGTCCGCAGTGGGGATGGCTGGCCTAGGGGGCTATTTGGCAGAATCTCCAACGGTAAGATTGATCTTACTCTCCCAGTGGGGCCAGGCCCAAAAGTGGGTGCCAGACCAAATGGAAGGGGGGGGGGGCTTTGGTCTAATGCAGGGGTGTCAAACTCGCCACGTCGCGTGTCGCGACGTAGCGTGACTTTTTCCCCATTGCCAACGCCGGGGTTGGCGTAGTTTCGGCAAGACGCATCCGGACCGCGGACTGGCAGTTTGACACGCCTGGTCTAACGGAAGAAAGTTTTTTTTGGGGGGGGTGTTTGGGGACCTCTCCCTCCCTGTTCCAATCCTCAGGAATTACTCACAAATCTGTTTGTCTGCACAGCAGTCCGTCAGGTCGCTTTTCCAGTCCCGGTATGGGGCCGGACAGCATGTGGTGTTGGTCGAAGGCCCGGTGCAGCACGGATGGGTGGAGCTTGGCTGGGAGGAGACCACGGGTAAAGAGTGGAAGGCCATCGCACCGATGCTCTAAGTGATGCTCAAGAGAATTGGAAGGTGGTGTCTAAACGTCCGGCTCCTAAACCGTTTGTAGCTGCTAGTTGTCGTTGGGTGTCTTCCCCAGTCAGGTCTTCCAGACGGCGGTGCTTATCCCAACAACCTGGCGATGCCTGCGAGCAATCAAATCGAGGTGGAGGGCTGCGAGCGCCTGGTGTTTAGGTGGACGGAGCTTCAAGGAACCTCTGGCTGTTCCTGCTCATCTTGCAGCTGGGATTAAAAAGCGGCTGGAAAAAGTAGTCACGGAGTGGGCGTGTAAACCACCAACTTGGGAACACCCTCTGCTCAATTTAGTCCAGGAACATCAATGGCTTGATTTTTTGGGGGAAAAGGGGCGGGGTGCATCTCCGAAGCCCTGCCTTCCCTCCTCCAAAGCGTGCGGAGGTGGGCTGCAATTACTTAATGACGGCGATGAGGTCCATTGCTGGTATTCCTTGATTGGTGACCCGCAAACTGGCCACCGGAACTTCCTCCGCTTAAGCACGGAGTGGTTAAATAAATCGCAGCCCATTTTATGATCTCTTCGACCACGGCCGTTAAGCAAATCGCTGCCATTGTGAAGCAAGTCACAAGGCCGTGAACCAAATCCGGCTTGCCCCCGTGGCTTGTCGGAAGCTGGCTGGCAAAATCACAAGCGGTGACCGCCTGATCCCGGGACTCTGAAACAGTTGTGAATACACGCGCCGGTTGCCAAGCCCCTGAATTTTGATCACATGCTCAGAAGGACACTGCGACAGTTGTAAATGCGAGGACTGCTCATCGGTCATTTTGTCAGTGATGTTGTAACTTCCAACACTTAAAAAAAAATGGTTATAAGTTGAGGACTGCCTGTGCTCAGATCACGGTTGGTCCCTGTGTCTTCCCAGGGTGGGAAAATTGGCAGACAGTGCAAATGTAGGGTTGGAGGCTGGACGTGTAACAAGCTTTATTTATTTTGAGTTTTATTTATTAATACTGAATTTTGAGTTTACTGGTTATGGTTTTATTTATCTCAGTTTTTTTTTATCTACTTCAAACATTTATATAATCCCCTATCTTATAATCAGCTCTGGCTAGCTCCCAATCCAAAGTAAAAACAACATAAAAACCGCAGTAAAAGTATAAAACTAAGCACATTAAAAATACTGAAACAACAAAAACCTGGTGCCAAGTCATAAGTCCCTGGGTGTTCCAGAGCCACAGTGGATTTGTCTGAAATAAGAGCTTCCTGCTTGAGCGGGGGGGGGGGGGGTTGGACTAGAA